AAGACATTCATGAGGAATGTTGTAATGGGAAGAACATACATATTATGATCATGAGCACTGAAGAAATGCAGTAAAATAGATGAGTTAGGGAACAAGCAAGGCAGGGATATCAGCCTGTACCAAATGGGTGAAGCCTCTTGGGCTTATTTTCTGGTGGGTTTTTTTTGGTTTGTTTAAATTCTCTAGGTCTGATACTGACTATTTCTTTCTTGTCCATTCCTTATTAAGTAACAAATCCAATATCATAAGTGCTGGACTGCAAGCATTTCAAGTCACAAAGCATTGCTGAGCAATCACATTCACAGCTTATCTGTATCATGGTTGCTGTAACGATGCAGTCAACTGGATTACTTGTTAGGTCTTTCTTGATGAATGCGTTTACCATTTAAAATTCAGGATCTGGTTGACCATGAATTATTAAGTAAAACAGAAAAACAACGGGAAAAAACTGTTTCTTGCCTATTTTTCCACCTAAAATGAGTCCTTATTCTGCTGCTCTTGGCATACACGCCAAGATGCCCAGTGGTGGACATTGTCCCTTGCATGCACTGCCCAGGTTCCTCTAGCAGTAGATGTTGTCATGATCTGTCCCTGTAATGCAAAAGCCAGCTTGGAAGGTCAGTGATCTGCCATAGACTTGGACCCGCAGGACAACGTCCTCTTCACAAGCAGTGAGCTGTGATTCCTCAATCTTCTGTCCTGAGTGATGTGTGGTTATTTCAATATATTGTGGCTAACCAAATGAAATCAATATTTATATGCATAGCTAAACTGAAATATTTGAATTAGATACATGTTTGTCACCAGCTAATTCTGGGATAATTGTGGAAAAATATTGATTTGTTGTGTTCATCAACTCTTATCACTGGACTTTGTTACTTTACTCCCCAAGGAGTGCATGACAGTTGATCTTCTACCACCACTGAGAATAAAATGCTTTATTAAGATGGTCTGAGAGAACATAGTCTTCTTTGCAATCTCTGTTTTTATGAGGGAAAACTAAAGAAATGCTCTTGGTGAAGAAGAGCAGTCTATGTTCTTGCACACTTTCTTTTTTTTACTGTTTGGAAGGGGAGAAACATCTTACCTGTGAACAATCCCCTGGCAATGCAGGTGCTCTACTGCAGACAGTATTTGCCTGGTGTATCTCCTTACTTCCCTCTCCGCCAGCCTCTTTTTGTCACAAATTCTGTCCAGGAGGTCCCCACCAAGACAGAGCTCCATCACCATGTAATAGGAGTTGTCGATCTCCAGGGTCTCATATAGCTGAACAACATTGGGCTGTTTAATCATCTGGTGTATCCATGGCTCACGCTTCATGTTTTTTAAAATGTAGGAATCCTGTTTTGCTTTTCTCTTGTCAATGACTTTTATGGCTACCTAAATTGCAGGATATATGCAAATTGGCAACAAGCTTTACAACAAAGATTAATTTTCAAAAGGATGAGGAGTAAGCTTACATGTGGGAGAAGCTGGTTTTGACATGGTGTTGATAATCAGTATCACAGAGGGAGACATTCCCAATGGAAGAATATACTTTTTATTTCTCTTGAAGGCCAAAATGGGAAGGCTGAACCCTGTCATATCTGTCCCTCTGATTGCATTAATGAATATGCATATATGAAATGTTCTCAAATGCAAAAACTCCCTACATGCTTGACTGGTAACTGCGTCTGTACTGTACCACATATTTTTTCTAACATACTCCCTTCTGACTTGGTCTAAAAGCCACCCAAGATACTGGCTATAATGGCCTGGGATTAGACTCTGCAGTTTGGGAAGTTAGTCAACCAGTGAAGCTACTGAAGCCACAATAAAAGTAAAAATCAAAAAGCCACTTGCTAGTAATCCACCTTTCCACAGTTACCTAGTGGTACGTTACTTTAACCTGACTGAGCTATAGATAACAGAGATTATCAGTACCCTGCCATATAAATGATTGCTGTTGGAATGGCTGGCTTTTCAATAAGTCTTGTCCATAGCTTTAAAGGTCAGGTACACAGCACTAATTACTCTGTGAGGAATATCAGGGAAAGCAGATTTGAAATTGGCCTTATGCCATCATCCTGTTCTCTTTCAGCAGGAGGATATCTTTGTTGTCTATATTGTTTTATAATTGTGAAAACAGTTGCACTCAATACATATTCACACATGTGATAGATTATACATGAGCAATAAACTCAATTTATGAGGTTAATTTATGAGGATAAGGTTCAGAGGATAATTCACTGAGTAGACTGTGGTTTGCAGATTAAATGGTCTGAAATTTTCTGACATAAGTTAGTGCGAGGTCACTTGCAATTCCTAGTGCGTGGTACCCTCTCATTAGGAGTTTACCTCCTCCCCTGTGGGGTTGTGCAGCCCCTCCATCACCTTGGCAAAGGAGCCCTTGTTGATCATTTTGCCTACTAGGTAATTCCCAACTTGTTTGGAGTGAGGGAAAGTCTTCCCAGTCTCTTGGGGGATCTTGTTAAAACAAGCAGGTATTTTTATGTCCTTTAAGTTTTTCTCCCATTCTGCTAATATCCCATCCAAGTTGCCAGTATCTGTGACTTCATCATCCAAGCCTGCTTCCGTTACTATGGGCATCCCTGGAGAGTCAGATTTGTGTTGCTACTTTCCAGATGTAGCTTCTGATTCACAGCAGATCCAGGCATTAAGTCTATGCATCTTGTGGTGCAAGTGCCATCCTGCTGATCACAGAGCAGCTAATCCTTTCCCTCCCAGACTCCCTGTCTGTCACTGCTCTCTAGCCTGTGCACACAGATCTGCTCAAGCAGAACCAAGTGGTAGATAATTAACCTAACCTGATACGCGATGTCAGTTAATGCCCCAGAGCTGCCAAGACAGATGACACATAATCCCAGCATTAACCTGGAATATACAGCTCTCTTTCTCCTACAATAGCTCGCTAAACACAAGCTCAGTGCAAGCTGCACCAAACTAAACCGAGCCACAGTTTTCCTGGCCTGCATATTGCTAACATGCAAGGGCACAAGTTTATTCTAAAAGCACTACGGTAGCATGAATGCAAAGCTGAGTTATGTACCTGATGATGTGCAAGCATTTATGCTTTTGCTGTGCAAAGTTTATAAATATATATGCACTTGTAGAACATTTAAGTCCCTGACCTGACTCCAGGTCTCAGAGAAGTATCTTGCATTTCTTGGGACTTGATTCCTGTTGTAAAATCTAGCAGGAGAGACTGTGTGTGTGCATGTAAGCATTTTCAGTCTTACAGCAATGACTGATAAAAAGAAAAGGGTTGGTTTTTTGATTTTTTAGTTTGTTTTTTTTCCCCTACAGCTGCTGTCTATCCATATCTGTCTTCATTACCTGGGTTCTTTCCAAAGTCACAGAGAGAGAAAAGAGCCTTTCCAGAGAGCGCTTTCACATACCTGCAATTTGAGCTGGGAGTTGCCATCTCTCTCCAACAACTACAGTGAAATCTTAGGGATCCAAAACCCTTCCCAGAACTTAGTGCGATGACAAATCCTTTCTCCACCCTTTGTCACTTGGAGTTGAACAATAAGCGGCATCCTGCTTGCCTGGTTTGACTTGTGAAGCCCACGAAGGGCAAAAATTTGCCAGGATGAGTGAAAATGAGAAGGAATTTTTTAAAAAAGTGTTTAAAATCCAAAATGGATTTACTGTACACTTTATAGTTCAAACTCTTGTGGGCAAGTTCAATGCATCACCATCTGCATGCAGCTGTTTGCAGGCACAGGGCAACCCCTTTTCATGTGTAACTAAAAGATAAAGTCCCACTAAGCTGAGTGGGTTTTCTCTTCATAACATACTCAGTTGTCATGCTTTGAGCTATATCGGTTGCCCAGCTGGAGTGGGACTTTGTTTGCCAACTTAAGCAGCTTTTTTCTTTTCCTTACAGAAGGCCAGAAACAAAGGAGACATGGTTTTCTGAAGGAGGAATGAGGAAATTCTCCTTGATTTTTGCTTAGTATTTGATCTACCTCCTTCTCGTCTTCCTAAACCACTGTTCATTGACTTTCCCACTAAAAATAAGAAAATAAAAGTGAGGGCAACCACTGTATTGAACAGAAACCTCATATTTCTGGCACATTTCAGAAGAAAGGAAAAAACCTCTTTAAAAATATAACAAACATTTAAAACACGATAGCTAGCTAAGTTAACTATTGCTATTTTTGGGGAAAGTCCCAGCCTGACACCTTGAAAAAATTTGAAGTCAAAAAGCTTCCAAATACCCTTCAAAGTAATTTTTTTTGGCACGGTGGAGGACTTAAAAAAAGGATGCAGGGCAGAAGGACCAAAAGAGAGTCCATCTCTGTGTTAGGGAGTCCACGACTACTAATCACAAGCTAAATGATGCTGCAGTCCTGGATGAGGAGGGAGCCGTCCACCAGCACTAGTAGTGTCTCTGCTCTGTGATATGGCTGTTATATGATGTGCTGCATTGCAGCGTGAAAAAAGTGTGAGAAGTGAGACCAAATAAAGCAGATCTTTGATAGAAGAGAGATGCTAATAAGGAATAATCTCCAGCAAGGAGGAAGCGTTAGCACCGTAGAAGGAATGACCACCTTAACGACTACAAAAAACCAACAGCCCTCCTCCCCAAACAAGCACTGTGGTATATTTTTACCACCTTGCATTCATTTGCCAGGGGGTGGGAGAGGACACAGTTCTGCTTCCTTGAGAAATGAAAAAACCCAAATCAACAAAACTGCAGATGTGAAGAAGATATACAGTTTTCCTATCAGCAAGGGGAAAAAAAAAAAGTTTTCTCTAAATTAGAGCCTGATTCCATGTTTGAGAAGACAAATTTTGCTTTATCACTCCATATTCTTAGTACCCTTCTAGGGAAACCAAAATTAGAAGCGTTTCTCACGATGTTTGTGCTACTGATCCAGAAAATATGAGGCCATGTGTGTGCGGGAGTTAACTTTATGTGAAGGCCAGGCTAGTTAAACAAACTCATTACATTCAGCAGAAATAAAACAGCATGAGCAGGAATTTGTCACTTTTCAGCCACCATCTTGGATTTCCTCCTGTGAAGCCAAATCCTGCCTGTAGCTGTATCCAAAGCTCTTGTCTCACATTAGAGATGAGGCAACGTGGTCCTGGTTTCTGGCTTTTGCCATTGCAGGATGAAGCCTTGGCTTAATGAAAGGCTGAGTTTTACTTCTTGGAGTAATGCTTTTTGAAGTCCCGATTTATACTCTTGTGAATACTGCCAGTTTTGTAAGATCTAGTGTGAGATTTTTCAAGGGGGCCAAAAAGTCAAATTCTTAGAGCTGTGAAGTCCCACAGAATTGACTCAAGAGTTCCCCTGAAGCCTGGATTTCTGGGTTGCAGAGCATATGCCCTACCTAAAGATGTGCTTTCCACCGGCACTCAGAGCATGCTGAGCTGCTGGGGGGCCATGTTGCTGTGTGGGAGCGATGCTGAGGTGGGCTGGGAGACAAGACTTATTATTCCAAAGGCAGCATCCTGCCAGAGACAGGTCTCATTAGGTGGGAGGCAGAATCCTACTTTCAGAACAAAAGCCGGTATCTCCTCCTGGATCAACATTGTCATATGGTTGTACCGGCACACACAGAGCTACTGCAAACATCTCTTTTCCAAGAGTGGTGCTTTAATGCACACATATTCTTAGGTGCTTTGGCAACTCTCCCCTCTCCCTTGACTTTTGTTTTCCCCACTAACCACTGTCGTTTGCTGCTTGAGGTACTAATGGTGCTGGCTTAGGTCCTGAGCTTGGCCTGCTTTGGAGGACTTGAAGGTTGCGAACAGTTCATATTTCCACATGGCTTAGGTTACCTGGGTGTAGGATGTAGGCTCAGGAGCTCCTTCTAAGACTGAAAGCTTTTCAAGTTTCATGCTGAGAAGTGGGGATTTCCTTTTCAGAGGAGGAAATCCAAGATGGTGGCATATAAATGTGGTGAATGGAGCAAAGAAGGGGAAAAAGACTGGTTTGAAGACATGGTAGGAGGAATTTAATCTAAATAGCAACCTCACAGTCTGTATCGTAATGACTCTCAGATCCTGGAACCACTTCAGTCTGTGTTTTATAATGTACCTAAGACATGCCCTTATTGCACTGTAACACCTGCCATATTGTAAGTTATTTCTGACTTCTCATACACTTTTTGGCAGCTGTGGAGTTTACTTTAGAAGTTACTGCATATGCAAGTTCAGCAGCTTTTCTGCAGGATTTACTTACCGCCACATGTTAAGGGGTTAAGAAGGCATGCACTCAGGGGCAGGCCAGACTCTCCTCCCAGAATGGTGTAAATCAGGAATTACTCTCTTTTGAAAGTTGTAGTATTTCCTTATTCAGAGATGACTATTCTTTACCACCAAAAGACCAGTGGAATCAGAAACATATGGGTTGTTATTTTCTCAGTATCTGGTCCAGCACTCACACAACTGTCTTCATAAGGAGCTGGATCAGGCTGTTAAAGTGCAAAAGACTTTGTTCTCCATAATACATTAAATTTTAATTCATGTAAGTGTATTTCCAAGATGTCATTCCTGAACATATTTTACTCACACAATCCATACCAACACTAATTCTGATTCTGCACTGCTTCCTCAGGCTAGCTGTTAAATTAAAAGAAAGATTAATAGGCTTACTTTGCAGATAGTCTTTGTCTTTCTGCCAGGCAATATATGCTTCCCAGATTTGCAAAAAAATTCTCATGCATGTGGGTATTTATTTCCAGATTATTTTCCATTTCTATGAAATAAGTTTTGCACCTTTTATTAATTGTCCATGGGTACTGCTTCATCGTATATTTTAGATGGAGTATCTATTTCAGACCTGTATTTCCTCCAAATGAGGGTCTCTGTTTCTCAGACATATTGGCAACATTGGTCTAGTAACCCTTATTGGACTCCTTGAGATATCCTTTATAGTTTCATTCAAGTTTCAGTATTGTCTCTTGTTCTTGAATGTATACAAGAACATCAAACCCAAAAAGCATCCATATTGGGTCAGTCTTTGGGTGGCACCAAATCCAGGTACCTGGAGTCCAGGTGAAGCCTATGTGATATCTCTTAGTAATACATCCCAGCTCCAACCACTTGCCACACAAGGGCTTCGTAAGCCAAAGGTGGCTTCTGTGGACTCCATGTGTACACTATTTACAACATCTTTCAAACCCTATGGATACCCATAGCTTTTATCTTTAAACGAAACATATTCTTAAGTGTTACGCTATGATGAGATGTACTAGCCCTTCATGTATATGGGGACCAGATACAGGAATGGTAGAAGTATCTCCAGTTTCCAATTTGGCTTGAAGGAAACATTGACAGGAGCAGTAACAACAGTTTCCAAAATCCAAATCATATTTGGCATCTAACACCAAAAGTGCCCACAGATTATGTTTATCATAGAATCATAGAACCGTTTGGTTGGAAAAGACCTTTGAGATCATTGAGTCCAACCATACCTGTCCACTACTAAACCATATCTCTGAGCACCCCATCTACCTGTCTTTTAAATACCTCCAGGGATGGTGACTCAACCACTTCCCTGGGCAGCCTGTTACAGTGCCTGACAGCCCTTTCAGATGGAAAGTTCAGTGAAGAAATTCTTCCTGATATCC